TTGTTCTTAGAACACTCGTGTGCCTTCCTTTTAACGTTTAAACCACAAGAAACTATCTCAATGCCTAAAATACAAAAACAAGCTCGGGACCTCTCAAAAATCAACCAAGAACTCACATAGCCATAAAATCATCCCCCGAATCCAATAGAACTCTCGAAATCCCGATATGAGTATCTGAACTCCAAATATTGACCAAAGTCAACCCAAAGGCTAAATTTCCACAATTTCACAACCTAAAACCTCAAATCCTCAAAAAGACTCTAAATCTTACATCGACAACTCTTACAGCTCAGATATCACATTCCTGGACTGATGGACTAATAGATTTCCATTCCGGCATTCAAAACTCCAAAACACCACAAAACCACTTTCTTAACAATATTAGCCTTTCAAACTCAAGTCTTACCGAATTCTCCACTGTTAACTCAAAGTTCAAAAACATCTTTCAAAACTCAACATAAAAGAATAGGGGTCGATCACTGGAGGGGCAAAACATAAATTCATAAAATGTTTCAAAAATGACCGACCAGGTCATTACATTATCCACCGCTATAAACATGTTCATCCCCGAACATAAAGAAAAATAAAGTACCTAAAGCTTCAAAAAGCTGAGGATATCTGGTACGCATATCGGACTTTGTCTCCCAAGTCGCCTCACGGACTGAATGCTTCAACTACACCTTCACTGCCTTGATCCTAAGCTTCCGGACATGCCTATCCAAAATGATTATAGGCTCCTCCTCAAAAGATATATCTGGACCCAACTCAACTGAATCAAGAACAAGCATGAGGGACTCATCTGGCACGTACTTCCAAAGAATGGAGACATGAAACATGGGATGCACAACTGACAAGCTAGGTGGCAAGACCAACTTATAGGCCACCTCTCCCACACGACTCAAAATCTCAAAGGGTCAGATGAATCTAGGGCTAAGCTTACCCTTTGTTTTGAACCTCATAACACCATACATGGGTGACACTCGAAGCCAAGCATGATCAGCCTTCATGAACACTAGAGCTCAAACTCTCCGATCCGCATAACTTTTATGTCGACTCATGGCTGTCAATAATCTACCCGAGATCATACGAACCTTTTGCATGGCATCTCTAAGAAAGTTTGTATCTAATAAATCCATCTTACCTGAATCAAACCATCCACTTTGACTGATCGTATGTCAAAGGATAAAAAGTTGTACTCATATATAACTGAGTACCTAAACCATATTACAATGACTCCAAGAAATGGAAAGTGAACAAAGATCCTTGATTAGAGAAAATAGAAACAAGGAATCGATGTATTCGCACAATCTAACTACAACTTGACTAACCTCTCCGCCGTATAGTTAACCTGAACTGGGATGAAATTTACGGACTTGGTCAACATATCAACCACCACCCAAATGGAGTTATAACCACCCACGATGGTAGTTTGTCCTACAAAAAAATCCATAGTGATCCGTTCCCACTTCCAAGTAGAAATATGCATCCTCTGAGATATACCTCACAGTTGACTTTTTGGTGAGTTAAATACCTCGAAACAAAATTTGTTATATCATTTTTCATACCGCACCACCAATAGTGTTGGCTCAGGTCATGATACATATTTGTCGTACCTAGATGGATTTAATATCGGGAACAATGGCCCTTTAAAAGAATTAGCCTAATCAACTCACCCACCTTGGGCACACAAATTGTGCACCCCAATCTTCAAAACACAATCAAAATCAAGGAAAACCTCCTTCGCTTTCCCTCACATCACCTTGTTTCAAATGAGACATAGTTTCTCATCATCAAAGTGGTTCATTAATCTACTCAACTAAGGAAGAACGAGCCTTAATGAAACAATCAAACCACTGGTCTCCTCAGAAATCTGCAATCGAACAAGATTGTTGGCTAACCTCTGAACATCTCTAGCTAATGGTCTCTCCTCCACACTAATGGTGGCAAGACTTCTCATGCTAGAAGTCTTCCTACTTAAAGCATCGGTCACCACATTGGCGTTTCTTGGGTGATACAAGATGGTGATGTAATAGTATTTGAGTAGCTCAAGTCATTTGTGATGCCTCAAGTTTAGATCCCTCTAACTGAAGTTATACTGAAGATTTTGATGATCTGTGAAGACCTCAAAATGAACCTTATACATATAATGTCACCATAGCTTAAGCAAGAACACTACGGCTGCCAACTCTTAATCATGGGTAGGGTTGGATCTTCAACTTCCTAGAGGTATAGGCAATCAAATTACTCTTCTGCATCAGAAAACCACTTAACCCAACTATAAAAGCATCACAATAAACAATGAAGTCTACACCCTCCTCGGGTAAAGTCAAAACAAGAGCCAAAGTCATCAAGGTCTTGAGCTTTTGAAAGCTCTCCTCACACTCATCAGAACATTGGAAACTCACACTCTGCCGAGTCAATCTAGTCAAAGAATATGCAATGGTGGAGAAGCTCTGAACAAAGCGCCAATAATAGCCCACAAGTCCCACAAAACACTGGATCTCAGGCAATGATCTAGTGTCAAAACAAAAATCAAACCAAAATGTTTTATGGAATTTTTGAACTTCTATTTTATTTTTTAGTAGATCAAAATTTCAATATTTAGATTTGTGAAAACAAACTTAAGAAAGACTCTGATACCAAATGAAGAGAATTAAAGGGTCAATTGAAAGAAATAAGAAAATATATGTGGAATTATTGAAATCTAATCTAATTTATGAGCAACAAAGAACTTTATACCTTCACCTCTCAATTAAATCTGATCAAATAAAAATAACTCAAACTCGAATTTATATTAAACAAATAAGAAACTTTATAACTGATATTAAATTAAATACTTAAGATATATATATATATATATATATTGTCTTTTGAAAATATATTACTTAATAAATATATGTTGTTAATTAGTATTATGAAAACTAATTGATTTATATTTTTCAAATTAGTATATTTCAGATTAATTAATCATAAAAATTAAAAGTACAAAATTTCTATGAACATCATGAAATGCATGTTTGACAAAAAAATTAAAATTATAAATAAAATATCATAAATTATTTAAATATTTGACAAAAAGATAATCTATAACATCTAACTAAAAAATATATCAATTGCATTGTGAAGTCTCAAGTGAATATTACTAAAAAAAAATGAAAATTGAAAATATAACATAATTTCTAAATGCAAAACAAAAAAATTAACATAAGCTCTTATGTCAAATTTCAACATAACATGCATAAATATTATTGAAAAGAAAAGAAAAGAAAAATATAAGCCTATAACCTTACTCAACAATGAATTCTACTTTAATTTTTTAAAAAATAGAATACTAACAAAATTATGCCAATGAAAAAATAAATAAACACTGCATAAAAAATAGATAAAACAAAAAAATGCAAGAAATCACACGAAGTAGAGGTTGAGAATGAGAAGGGGATAAAATATATATAATATAAAAAAATTAGAATTTTTTAGATTAATAAAAATAGAAATAACATAAATAAAAAAATATAAATAAAAATAAAAAGAAGAAGTTAAAAAGTAATCAACTGAGAATTATACCATGTATTACGAGCAATTCATGACACTTCCATGAGAATTAGAAAGTGTAATTACCCTTGTCAATCACACAAAATTACCTGCTGACCAAATTACATGGTCAACCAAACATGTCACACAATGTAATTACAACCAATTATACTAAATTCAATTATCAGAGTGGCTTTCCAAACAAGCCTATAAGAACAACAACAAAATGCTACTATCCACTATTACCCTTTTGATCATTACTAAAATATTCCCTTAGAAAATACTCCCTCTGTCCCTAATTACCTGTCCACTTTTGAATTGGCACACCAATTAAGAAAACAATAATTGAGATAGTGAGTTTACCATTTTACCCCTATTAATTATGAAGTGGATGAATTAAAAACCTAAGATTTTCAAGAAGTTTTACTTTTTTCAAAGTAATTAATTGAGGGTATAATAGGAAAAAAATATCCTTTCTTGATTTGTCAAAATGGACAAGTAATTAGGGACAATTAAAAACAGGAAAAGTGGACAATTAATTAGGGGCAGAGGGAGTATAAAATAGTTAAGAACATCGTAATTAAATGAAGAGTAAAAATGAAAAAAAAGGTACCAACAATTCTCTTGTGCAATGAACAATTAATTTATTCTAGACTATAAAAAAGTCTCAATCATTCACTTAGTATAGATTAAATGGAGTAACATATCTTTTGTTGTTATCTATAGTTTCAAGTTCATACATGAATGGATAACACCTGTTATAGATTATTTTTTATGGTCCTACAAAAAAAAAATTCGTGCTTTACCTTTGTCACTAATTACTTATTCTCAAATTATTTTTCATGACCTAATAGTAAATATCAATTAAATGGAGGAAATGTGCTAAAATTACCCCTACAATGTGGTTGTCTATTTGGTCACTATTCTCAAAATAATTGGGAGATCTGGTTCTGGAATCCTCTACAAATTTTATTTTTAGTTTTATATCTTTTATATACAAATTAGCAAAGGGAAAATTAATGAAGCAGACAGAAAAGTCAAAACATTGTGGGACCAACAATGCATTGTTATTCATCTTTATTTGGCTTCTATAGACGGAAGCGTTATTTCTATTTATCTGTGACAATTCTTTTAATAGTACGTGAAATCAAAAAGAATATTTAATTTCGTTATTTAAAAATATTAAATAACATATTTTTATTATCAATGAGATAGTATAATAAATATTTATAACTTATTTTAAATTAGTACTTCGTTTTAAAAAATAAAAAATATTTAAACTTCATGTCTAATCAAGATTTACGACATAAATAGAAATGAAGAAAGCATAATTAGATTATATACACCCAGTAAAATCTTCTGAAAATTAATAAGGGTAGTCCTCTCATTCTTGTTATATATATGCACATAATCTTGTATCCTAATTACCTCAGCCAATATTATCTTTTTTATATAAAAATTTCACAATTATGACATTTCCTAATGACAACATGACTAGAGAAATGTTGGTTGTTGAGGCACACATATGGAACCATACTTTCAATTACATCAACTCCATGTCACTCAAACGTGCTATTCAACTTGGAATTCCAGATATCATCCACTCTCATGGCCGAGCCATGACCCTCTCTAATTTGGTGGATGCCCTTTCCATTAACAATAATGCTAAAAGCTTGGATTATATCTTCCGTCTTATGCGTATTCTAATTCATGGAGGCTTCTTTAATCAAACAAGGGTTAATGACAAAGAAGAGGGTTATTTACTTACTCTAGTTTCATGTCTCCTTCTTAAAGATGAGCCTTTGAGTCAAGTCCCCTTTGTGCAAATGGAACTAGATAAAAAATTCATCGATCCATGCCACTCACTTAGCAAATGGATCAAGAGTGATGACGACTCTAGTATTCCATTTGAAATTGCTCATGGCAAACCCCTATTTGAATATGATGAGAGGCAACCAAATATTAACCGTCAATTTATTGAAATTATGGCTAATGATTCCCTATTAGTTATAAGTGTGATGATTAAAAATTATAGGGAAGTTTTTGAAGGACTAAAATTATTGGTTGATGTTGGAGGTGGCACTGGAATTGTGGCTAAAGTTATTGCGGATGCACTTCTTGAAAAGAATTGCATCGTCTTTGATCTTCCACATGTAATTGAAGGATGTGAAGGGAGCTGTCACGACTCAGCTCACCGGGCAGTGCGGGCACCCACTCTAAAACCTAAGTAGGAGAACTCTCATATCCTATTAGTTAAACATGCGGAAATTTTAAAGAAAACAGAGATAAATATAATAATATGATTTAAGAAAAATAATATCATTAGACACACTTTTAGTTAAAACTTGTAAAGTAATTTAACAACTCCAAGGATTTAGTTTAAACATGTACAAGAGCTACTAAAAGTACAACTGGACAAGATAAACAGAAGACACAGCTCCCACATTGTGGAAGGAAGAATAGAAGCTACTGGAGAATTTCATCGTCTTCACCTAATGAAACATCACCAACCTACATCCAGCCTATGTCAAAAAATATAACAAGAGTAGTATCAGTACAAACACATACTGGTAAGCATCATCAGTCAACCTGACGCCCACCACATAAAATAAGAAACCATATAGTAAGATCATGAAATAAATCACTCACGTATTCACCTTTACCCTCTCTTGGAATACCTCCAATATACACTAGTATTCTGCCTACTGTCATCCTTCTCAATCAACCTACCTACCAGATACTTGAACATTGTCTAACCATTCTATCACATAGAGTAATCCCCCAAATACAACCACCAACACTTCAACTAACCGTTCACGTCATTCCCCTACTTCCTCGTCACACTAACCAACCATGGTCCCATAACACATTAAATATATCTTTCTTCCCACTAAACCCAAACTCTTCCCCCAAGTTGAAATACACCTAGGCCTATTCGTCACGCACGCTGCCTCTACTCCTCGCCATTACAACCCACGAACAACCCTTACTATCTATTACTCGCCTCTTGAACACTCTGCCCTTCCATTATACTCAACAGGTTCGCTCATTATGACGAACAATCAAATATCACCCATCATACAACTTATTGCAGGCTTTCTAAATAGCAGGACAAAACAACGAACTCTTACCTTTCATCCGGTGTCCTAATGCCGCAAGTCGGGAAAAGAAACATGATGATCGTAACATGGGGTTCTATTTTGAGACAGGTTTTGTGCTGCGCAGGTTGGAGGAGAAGAAGCCTACCTTCTATGCTCGCCTGGTAGAATTCTGGTGGGTCCCGCTGATTGAGGCTCCCCCAGATGCACGCTCTTCTTGGTTGATGGAGTTCTACGCCATCCTGCCTAATGTGCAATGCGACAACTCTCACCTCATCATCCGCATCAGAAGAGTTGACATTCCTCTGAACGCCACAGCTATGAATGAGTCCCTAGAGGTATCGGAGGTCCCGAACCATGAATATAAGGTCAAGCTAAGGGATATGGACCTGGAGTGGCTGAGAGACACTCTTGTTGAGCCTACACGCCGGGATCGGGTTCACTGGGCTACTGTTGAGGGTATTACTAGATCGGATTGGTTACCCGATGCTAAAAGGTAGTTACATTTGGTGACTAAGAGGATCCACTCGTCGGGCAGCCACATCGACGTGACCTTTCCCTAGGCCTCGGTAGTGGCGTGCTTTTCGGTTTGCTTAGATTTGGTATTCATTCCCACTCCCTTTCCTGGATTTCGCGTTATTGTCTCCTATGCTAGCCTATGATGGATGAAGGCCTTTCATTTTGGCTGTTTAATCTGAATATTCTAATAATAAGATCGAATCAATTCCTATTCGAAAAGAGGATTTCATCATACCTGGCATTGAGACTTTACTTTTTCAAGCTGGAAATAGGGAACTCCTTTTTGGACCTGCCTTTGATCTTAGGCTCGCAGCTACTATAAAAGTAATTGTCGGGGTTTTCTCAATCGGCGCTACACAAGGCATCCAGCTAAATGTGGGGGCATAGATTATTTTGGAATGGAAGATTTTCTATCGGGGTAACAAGAAGGTGTTCTTTCTCCCCGGTCTTATCCCTGCCTAGTACAAGAGGGTGGGAGTGCCACTGTTTGATGTTGACGAGGTACTTCCTATGGATCCCCTTTTCACCCTCTTTTGGTTAGGACATGTTCTACTTCTAGGAGCAAAACGAGAAGGACAGGCAGGGCTAGTAGTAGTAAGGCGGGCGTGGATTTAGACAACGCGGACCCACTCTCAGGTGCACGGGTCGAAGAGGATCTGGACGCTATCCAGAAAAGGATGGGGAGCTTCTATGCCGACTTCTCTCCGGTTCCACCCAGCACTGCCCTAGAGGTCGAGATGCTCCGTCGCCAACTGCGCCAGGAGAGGAGAATGGGTCTGGATAGGGATCGTCTAATGGATCGGATGTAGAAGACTATTAAGGCCATCTTTACTTGTGTTGCCCTTGGCAAAAAGATTCCCCAACTCAATCCAAAGGACTCTACGCAATTTCCTATGTTGAACGAGGCCTGGGATGGTGTGATACCCCTAGATGACCTCGACTCTAACATTGACACCACCCAGTCTTAGAGTTCCTGATTGGCTTTCCTTTCGCCCCTCTTGCGTTTGTAATGTTTAGGACAAATCTATTTTTATCTTTCACTTTACTAGGATTTTGTAGCACATGGATGCTTGATTTCTTGCTTTTCCATACTAAATGGTGAATTCCTAAGTTATAAATATATTGTCTGATTTGCTGAACACTGAAAGGATTGTAGGGATTTGTTCGGATCCCATTTGGGTTGACATTTCTAAGTTAGGGAAAACAAGGGAGGCTGGGTTGAGGTTCTGCCTTGCTCAGTCCCACTCTGGCGGTGTCGCTATGGCGGGAATAATTCCGCCCCAGCGGCTCAGATGGGACCTGAACCCAGGCTAATAATTTTTGTGTTCTTTTCGTTATTCTAAGATTTCCCCAAGGTTTCCAGCTTAACCAAACCATCTAAGATAAATTTCGAAGCTAGGAAAATCATTAACTAAGTTATAAATTCTTACCTCAACGGGTTTCACGATATTCAAGAAATTACACTTAAGTACCTTTAACAATTCAGTCAGCAATTTAATCATATCACATTCAGACACGCAACATTGTGTCCTTAATCATGTCACACGCATCAATCGTAACAACTTCACATCATTAGTAAAATCAGCCACCCAAAGAATACTTCCACGTACACAGTTATTTCACAGAGCAAGGATCACTCATTCATAGCTAATTCAAACAACAAGAAACACCCAATCATAGTTTCCAAGACGCCACACACAGACAATTTCAATTTATTAGTTAGTTCGTTCCATAGATGACCATTACTGGTCATCCATGCTCCTTATAGCCCCTAAGGCTAGATACAAATTGGACCCTTCCTAATTCCAATTACCTTGCTTGTGCACCTTCAGCCGTGACCACAACTTCCGGTTCACTTTGTTGAGAAACCAATTGGAATCGGAAGATACCAATTGAACTCAACACATACCACAGGCGACACTTCGCAAGAAAGGAGAAAATCAGTTGAACTATTTCCTAGAATGCTTCTTTGCTTCCTGAAGATTAGATGTGGACGTTAACACACCAATCCGCAAGAGTCTAGTCCACATTTTGCTCTTGTACAGGGAGACCAGTAACCTAGGCTCTGATTCCAATTTGTCATGACCCAAACCACCGGGCCGTGCAGGCACCCACTCTAACACCTAAGTAGGAGAACCCTCATATCCCAATAGTTAAACATGCGGAAAATTTAAAGAAAACAGAGATAAATATAATAATATGATTTTTTTTTAAAATATCCTTAGACACACTTTTAGTTAAAACTTGTCAAGTAATTTAACTACTCCCAAGGATCTAGTCTAATTAGGTACAAGAGCTACTAAGAGTACAACTGGACAAGATAAATAAAAGACACATCTCCCACCATGCGGAAGGAAGAATAGAAGCTGCTAGAGAATTTCTTCGTCTTCACCTAATGAAACATCACCAACCTGCATCCAGACTATGTCAAAAGACATAGCAAGAATAGTATCAGTACAAACACACGTACTGGTCTGACGCCCACCACATGACATAAGAAAGCAACTAGTAAGATTATGAAATAAACCACTCGCTTCTCCACCTTTACCCTCTCTTGAAATACCTCCAATATACACTAGTATTCTTCCTATTGTCATCCTTCTCAGTCAACCTACCTACCAGATACTTGATCATAGTCTAACCATTCTAACACATAAATTAATTCCCCAAATACAACCACCAACACTTCAACTAACCGTTCACGTCATTCCCCTACTTCCTCGTCATACTAACCAACCATGGTCACATAGCACATTAAACCCATCTTTCTTCCTACTAAACCCAAACTATTTCCCCAAGGTGAAATCCACCTAGGCCTATTCATAACACACACTGCCTCTACTTATCGCCATTACAACCCACGAACAACCATTACTATCTATTACTCGCCTCTTGAACACTTTGCCCTTCCACTATACTCAACATGTTTGGTCATTACGACGAACAATCATATATCATCCATCATACACGTGCCCACTAAGTGCAACATAAGGAAGTCAATACAACATAAACTCACATGTGTATATCAACATATACGATATCATCAATATTTATGAACAATCGAATAACTTTACATTTTATATCACATCATTGGTCCTCTCATGGAACCCAAACCCAAAGAGTTAATTATGCCGGAACGTGGTAACTAATCCAAGTTAGTTATAATGGAATGTGGAAACCGATCCCATAGTTATGCCAGAACGTGGCAACCGATCCAATATTTATGCTAGAACGTGGCAACCGATCCAAGTTAGTTATGCCGGTACATGGCAACCGATCCAAGTTAGTTATGCCGGTACATGGCAACCGATCCAAGTTAGTTATGCCGGAATGTGGCAACTGATCCATTCAACACATCACAATCACAAGTATATCTTCAAGATCATACATTTAAGTCATGCTTTCTTGGCAATCATAGTTTACACATCTCAATTACAACAAGTCTTATCAACAATGCAACATTCATAAACAAACATCAATTTGACCATACTTAGCCCTAGTTCGTCATCAAAGTACTTTCTTCTAGAATTTAGTCACAATTCATCATAAATCCTCGATTCAATCACTCCAATTTATGATCTAGCATGCATTTATAAATCTAGTTCCATTCATGATTTCTTAGTCTTATTCTTGAACCAATTCTAACCATGATAACAATTCTAGAGTCCCTAACAATTTATCGTTTCCTCTTTTCAAGGCATACACCCACGTACTTTGATTTCTAGGGATTTCTCATGGAGTTTACTTAGTGCACGAAGGTCTACACACAACCCTACAATTGATTTCCATATATTACATAGTAAGCACAAATTTATAACTACTCAATTCATAAAACCTAGCCTACCTGGGCGCCAAGCAATTGCACGAAGTGTTTGACTTCGCTTTCGGTTTTTCGGGCTTTGTGACGGTGAAATTGGCCAAGAATTCGCAAGATCTGACCATCCTGACGCTAGAAATTTCCTTCTCTTTCTTTCCCAAGTTTAGAGCAGCTTTTCTTACGTTTCTAGAATGTTTTACGACTTAATTAGGTATTTTATGAAGATAGAGATAATAAGATTTCTCGTAATTTACGTTCTGTCTCCGCTTATCCCGCTCAGGCGCTAACTAACCCCGTTGTGGGAGGAGACATGTTTAAGTTCATTCCCTCTACCGATGCGATTTTACTACGGGTAATTCATTTGTTATACAGAGATTGATTTTCACTGTATAAATTGAAGTACTTGTGTTAAAAGTTTATATTTGATGACTAATAATCAATAAGCAATGGGTATTACATGATCGGAGTGACGAAGAATGCATCAAAATATTGAAGAAATGCAAAGAAGCAATTCCAAACAAGGAGAAGGGAGGGAAGGTGATCATCATTGACATGGTATTGATGGACCGTAACCTAGAGAAAGGAGACGACAAGTCATATGAAACTCAACTTTTATGTGACATGTTCATGATGGCACATGTTTCTAGAAAGGAAAGAAATAAACAAGATTTGGCAAAACTATTCTCTCGTGCTGGGTTTCGTGATTACAACATTATACCTATGTTGGGATTAAGATCTATTATTGAGGTGTTCCCTTAATGTATGGAATTGGATAAATTCCAGCAAGCGTCCATGCCACTAATAAAATACTTTCGTGTGTTATAAAGAAAAAGTGTCATTCCACGTTTTCATCCTAAATAAATGAACTTCTTTGAGTTTTATTTTCGATCCTTACTTCATTTGTTGTTGCAAGTACTTGTTTGAGATAAGTAACTTATTATGATAATAATTCATATATTGTCTAGATAAACTGAATAATATCTATAATTTCATCAGAAAATACTCCTAGTACATAAACATTTAATTATTCAACAATTTGCCTCTATCTTCTCAACCTCTCTTCTTTCCTATTTTCTTGAGTATCTCAAATAGTTGAAATATTTTTTTCCAATCTTCTTCCCAAGTCGAAACCTTCATCCTCTTGTGCTCAGGTAAGTTCATTTTTCTTTCTCGAACAATTTTAGCTCCATTTTTTACTATTTTTTTGTTGCATTTTAATTTAGTGGATTTTGAATTTTTGCAAAAATTTGATTGTTCTTGATTAAATTTGTCAAAATTTGATATGTTTTGAGTTCATGTTCTTGATTCCGCATCTTTAATTGTGTTTTGCTTTGGATAATGGTTAGAAAACTTTTCAACTTTTATAATTATATTGTCTATTGATTTTTTGTTAAAAAAATCTGTGTTTTAGTAGACGTTAATGGTGTACAACATGTGACTAATTAAGAAAAATATTTAAAGAAATCAATTAGTTGCTACTTCGACCTTTGTCCACTTTTAATTGTCGTAGTTTCCATTTTTAGAGTCAAACTATAAAAACTCTAACTAACATTATATGATGCATCTTTTCATCATATTAATATGCAAAAAATTGTAATTTATAGTACTTTTCGTGTAGTTTTTGAATATCTAAATATTTTGTTTAAAATATCGAATTGATGTAATCTAATTTAACTTTGAAAAGTAATCAAATTGACTTTCGAAAAGCGCAACATGACAAATAAAAGTGGAAGGAGGGAGTATCCACTATTACCCTTTTTATCATTACCAAAATATTTCCTAAGAAATAAAATAGTTAAGAACCTCATATTAAATGAATGGTTGTAACGACTTGTTCCCGAAGTTATAGCCAACAGAGAAAACTTTTGGGCCGGAAATTGTTTTCGTAGTAACTTGGAATTTCCCAACCTAGTCCAGATTTGGACGAAATCGGAGTCATTAAAGTCTAGGGAATTATAGTATCAATTTGGCAATTTAATTATTATTTTAATTACATGATTAGATAGCTAAGACGTTAAGGAATTCATATGACTTTACAGAATTTAATTTAGGTACTTTCTAAGTGTCGTTGGTTGAAGGTGTGTTGTAAAATGGGGGTATTGAAATTATTAATTTTGCTCACTTTTGGGTGCAAGATGCTATAGCGGTATTTTCTACCGCCACGGCGGGGCAGCTATTGTGGGGTGAGGTCACTGTGGCGGGACAAACGTGACTTAAAGTTGGAAATAAACCCCAAAAATGTTTTATTCGACAATTTTTGAACTTGAGAGCTAAGGAACGAACCCAAGCATTTTCTTGACAGATTTCCACCATTATTGAGGCTAAAAGTAAGATTCCACTCCACAAATATGTTTTTCGATCCGTAGAACGTAATCTAATGGGTAATTATCGATGGGGAAGATTTTTGATCTGAGAATTATGGTGGGAAAAGCCCTAATCTGGGTATGGGGATCATGGGTATGATATAGGGTTGATAGAATTGTTAGTAATTCGGAGAATTAGTTATTGTTTATTGATTCCCTTGTTATATTGATCGCTTGTAGACCAAGAACAAGCGGAACGAATTCGGAAAGGGAAGAATCAAGTTTCTTAGGGGATTCAAGCTTTGTTTGAGGTAGGTGATGATTGTGCTTCTATGATTGTGTGATGTACGTTTGTTCTTTCTTCAATATGATAAATGTATGTATGTGAATGTTGCATTATTGATCACATTAATTGTAAATGAGGATATATGAATGATGAATGCCATTAATCATGACTTGATTGTATGATTATGAGAATGTACTTTGTGGTTCTGATTGTGGCTTGTTGATTGGATTGGGTGTTGCGTTCCGTCTCACTAACTTGGATCGGTTGCCACTTTCCGGCATAATTATGGGATCGGTTGCCACGTTCCGACATAATCATTGGATCGGGTACCACGTTGTGGCATGCTAACAGTTTGGGTTTAGGTTCCATGAGAGGACCAATGACTTGATATAACTGTGATATTTCAGAATCATGAATGTCACTCCCCGAGCCTTGACCCTGGACGGGACCGGCACTCGAAGACTATTGCTGGCCCCAAGCGAACCCTTGGCTTGACTTACTTAACCTAGCAGAAGACTTAAACTCAACAAAGATAAGTTCATATAATGAACTGGAATGTTATAAAGGAATATTCAACTGGCCATAATGGTAAACTCAAGTCTCAACGTGGAATAATGACAATGAAATTACTAAAGAACTAACATCTGACAGTCTATGAACACTCTAATAACAACTGATATGGATGTTGGGACAAACCCCACAACATTCTAATGAACTAAACTAGGAAACAATGAAATGGATCCTTCAGAATGCAAGGAGGCTCACCAACAGACTCTAAACTACTCAATGGATCAACGATGCACCAGAATGCTGATCCTAGTTACCTGTGTATGCATCATTAGACGATGTAGGCCAACTGGCATCAGTACATTGAATGTAAGAGTATGTGAGTTGGAATGCTAAAACAACATAGGCTTGAAAGGGAATCTGAAAGAAACACTTACCTTGGCTCTTCTCAACTCCTGAATACTTAACTGAACTCATTTCAATATAAAGCAGTTTAAAACAAGTGCAATATACAAAAAAGTCGTTTAAAAACATGATATCAACTTTGCTTATATACAAGGATACAACACAACTCTTCAATGTATGTAAAAATACTATAACTGATGTATATAAAATACATTAAGTTATGTGCGAGTTTCTCTAACCGACAACCATCACATAAGATTTATAATGATGATACAACGATCTACCTCACGCTTCCAGTGCTTCCTATACTCGGCCAAAGGTATAGAACCTGAACTGTCTAATGGATCCACTAGTCTATTGCGAAAAGGATTCATCTAAAAATTAAGACCCTTTTCTACCGATGGTGGCTACATGATTCTATGGTGACGTGAGTTATCTAAATTCATGCTCGTCCCCAATTCGGTGCTCAATACTACTCCCAAAATATATTGGCTCTTATGTTTTAAAAAACATACTTCTTCTGTGATTTGATATTAGTGCTCAAAAACTTAGCTCAAAGGCTATCTTGGAAATCAAAGTTTCCCCTCTTGCTTCATTTAGAAAGCGATTACTTTTTCTGAAAACTAGCCCAAAGGCTCTTTGGAAATCTCTGTTTCCGCTCTTATGTAAACGTGAAAACATTTTAAATCTCTTTGGGAATACATAGTCCCCATATGCTTCTTTGAAGAAAAGAACTTCAACTATACATCCTTACTGAACTCGAAGCTTAAGTCTTAAAAGAAAGTTAAAATATTTGCGAAAGACTTTTGAAAAACTCTAAGAACTCATCTTAACTTGACTCTTGACTTCTCTTGACTTTGACCTTAACAGCTCTTGACTTGACTATTAATTGGTCCTTGAATTGAATTATGGATTCAAGGATTAAGATTTATGACTGGAAAAATATCATGATGTTTAGAAATGATTCTAGATAGTTAAACATGAGAAAAAACCTAATATCTATATTTGAAGGTGGGTCCGCGACGCGGAGGCATAATTTAATTTTGGTTCCGAAAACTTCTTTGGAGACAGAAAACCTCGTGTCAACTCCGCGACGCGAACCTGAAATGATCAAATCTGGGATCTAGGGGCGCGACGCGTGGCCACCCCTTAATTTCGTCCGACGAAATTTCTTCTTCGTTTTCCAACCCTCATTCACCCAAACTCGGTTCTTTTTCTCAAATTACTTTTAGATACAGATACCCCACAAATGTACCTAAGAACCTAATTCGAAACGACCCTATAATGTGACGTAACGAAATCAGGAACTTCCCAACTCAGTCAAATTCAAGAACAATAATATATGAATTCAAGAATAGTTATCAAGATCATCAATATTCAAATGCTTTTAGGACGAATCCAAACTGAAATAAATATGCTTGGTACGTGGGAGAACGATCCCAACATTATGAGAGCCTCACATACCTGATAGAAGTAAATCCTTGGCGAGACACCAAGTTCCTTGATCGATCTTGATGAATTTGCCCTTTACTCTTTCTTCTTTTCTCTTCTCCTTTCTCCGTAGCCCTAGCGTGAAATCCCAAGTTCTAAAACTGACTAAGTTCTGAATTGACCCATATTAAACTCCTAAAATCGGATTAAAATAATAGGGCAGTGAAAAGACTAAAATACACCTAATATTTCCAGATTGGACATTTCCTTAATCTAACAACCTAACTTCCAAAGGTCATAACTTGCTCATACGAACTCGGAAATGAACATACTTGGCGGCATTGGAAAGATCATTCCAAGATCTTCCCCACAATATCTGGAACTACACCTAACTCATCCTGAGCTAGTAGTTATGGCCATCTGAAGTTGTCCAAAATTCAACTTTAACTTACTTGCAATTTTCCAGATTTCCTTATACTTTACAAAAAAATAACTATTTCTAGAATTTAAACTTTCTTCTGGTTCTTTCTAGTTGCAATATGTTACAGTGAAACTGTTCGTTGTTCGTAAATGATGATGATGTTGTATATGTTCTGTGATTGCATGTTATTATATTGTTTTTTTGACTTATGTATGTTGCACTTAGTGGGATAGCCTCGTGATCCTACTAGTACACTAGGGTTGTGTACTGATACTACTCTTACTCTTTCCTTGTTGAGTACAGGGCATCTTCAGGCGGCTATTGACAAACCTCGCTTAGAAGATCAGTGATCGTTCAAATTCAAGGGTGAGCCAGTTCTTTTAGGCTGTCATTATCTTTCTGTCAA